GCTAGCCGAAGAACTAAGCCTTTTGAGATTTAAAAGCTGAAGGCTTTTGACCTTAGTTCAGCAAATGATTTTGTGTAACAAGCAGAATACAGAGCACTTATTGTCCCGGAATTTCACTAACACCCGCAGATAGCACTTCTGATGTCTTACTAAATTGTTCCTTTTTTGCTTAAAGTGTGAAAAACATGATTATACTAAGCAGCTTGTCAAGGAATGCAACTTAAAGATGGAATAGGTCTAAAAACAAAGATAAATGTCATTTATGTACTAATATTCAAAGAGTTTTGAGGTTTTGGAAGAACCGATCTCTCTAACCATGGGAATTTCTTCTTACTCCTTGTTGGCTTCAGTACTTTCTGAAATAGCTTCACTTAACTCGAAAAACATTCCATTATGCTCTTGAGTATTTTTTAGGTAATTATGAAAATTATTGTGATGGTGCTTGTTCTCACTATGCTTCTAATTTACTAAATGCAGGCCACTACTCCAGAATACAGAGCTTACCAAGAGCAAGTTCTCAGCAACTCCGCGAAATTTGCCCAGGTAAAGTCAATGAAATATGCAGTTCCCAGAAGCATAGTGAAATCCATAGTTTATTTTTGGGAAAATGCACAAGTACCCCACAACCTATGCCTGAAATTCCAGATAAACACTTATGCTAAACTAAAGTCCTACCTTTTACCCCCGAACTTATTTTTATAAATAATTTTCTACCCTTTTTCGACGTGGCACTATCTTTGAAATATAGTCAGCACGCGCTGTGTCCAAAAGATAGTTCCACGTAGGCCGAAAAGGGGTAAAAAGTTATTTATAAAATGAGTTCATGGGGGTAATAAGACTTTAATATAGTATGAGTGTCTCTGAGATTTCGAGCATAGATTGGGGTATTTATTCCATTCATTTTTAAAAGAACTATAAATTATGGTTGACTTATTATCTCCATAATATTGCTTTCTTCATTCCTGCTGCATATTTTTCAATCCTGCAGGCTTTAGAGGAGAAGGGCTATGAACTTGTCTCTGGAGGAACTGATAATCACTTGGTTTTGGTGAACATGAAAAACAAGGTAAAGTACGAACTCCTAGGAAAAGGGAGAAATCTTCCTCGTGAGTTGTCTGTGAGGACTACTAAGTTTAACAATTGCTTTTGATGAATTAAAATTTGAGCAATACAGTTATTACAGTGAGCTCTTTTGAAGATCAGCTGAGATATTAGTGCATGAGGTTGCTGCATGTTATATATTGGCATCTGTTATGCTCTATCACGAAAGAAATAATACAATGCAAGTACTGAACCTGGTCCTTTTACAGGGTATTGATGGTTCCAGGGTTGAAAAAGTCTTGGAAGCTGTACATATTGCAGCCAACAAGAACACCGTTCCTGGAGATGTTTCTGCCATGGTCCCTGGTGGCATCAGAATGGGTAAGACCTCTCTCTTTGATATCTTCTTCATTAGTTATTCTTCCTTGTAAGCAAACTCCGCTAAAACTATTTTTAATCAGGAACTCCTGCACTCACTTCTCGGGGATTTCTTGAGGAAGATTTTGTTAAAGTTGCTGATTTCTTTGATGCTGCTGTGAAGATAGCAGTGAAAGTAAAGGCTGAAACTCAAGGTGTGTAAGATTTACACGTTTGTGTAGTTAGGTTGACCTATTACAAGATGGAACTCTCCATATTGAAGTATGATACAGTAACCTGGAAAACAAAGTAATAATGTGCAATGATCAATTGAGCTTTACCAATAGTGTAAATATTCTTAACACTGTCAATGCATATGAATTAAATCTCATAAAACAATACCTTGTCTATAGATGTCCGACTTATTAGTTATGCATAAGTATGTGTTGTTCTTTTTATTATCACCCTTTTAGTTCTTTAGTCTAAGGGCTTGGATTTTGTTACCTCAAATGCTTGATCATTTGAATTTGTGTGGTTTTTCAAAACTGCGAACAACTTCCACTGTTACCATAATACCATCTTCTTGTATCAGGGACAAAGTTGAAAGACTTTGTATCAACACTAGAATCCAGTGCTCCAATCAAGTCTGAAATTGCAAAACTCCGTCAGGATGTGGAGGAGTATGCTAAGCAGTTCCCTACAATTGGGTTTGAGAAGGAAACCATGAAGTACAAAAACTAAGAGGTACATACACAAGGAACGTCATTGAGGTACTTTGTTTCGTCATTAACTGTATCCCTTTGACTATGATGAGCCACAAAGCAATCAAAATTTATGAAAACATTATGGTACTTCAAATCAGATAACCTGTGATGTGAAAGCACAAGGATCATTTTATATGCAATGAGATTGGAATATTATCAGCAAATATTCAGCATAATAATATGGATCTGAAAGAAACTTGGACATGTTTGGTTTGCTTGTGTAGTAGTTCATACTTCAGATCAGATTTACTCCTTTATACCCTATTCAAATGTGGTTATTTTCCTTGCTCTTCATTTTCATTTGAGACTCATTTGTTCTCTTTTCCCGTTTGTGGTTTGTTCGTGTAACAGGCACCTAATATCAAGCTTCAGAAAGGTGAAAGGGGAAGAAAATCCAACCATGAATTGCTTTCAAGTACATGTTCTCATGCTTATATATTGTAAAGAAATCCAGCACATGTTGGTTCCCATGTATGCAGTTTGTATATTAATCACTTACAGTCCAACTGAGGTCCTTTTTAAAGCAATAAACTTTTGTTACCTTTGCTGAATTTTGTTTCATTGATTCTGTTGCTTTATTCCCTTGAGATTATCATGTTACTGGCATGAGGCACCTTATAGTGAATGAAATATTGCACTATTACTGATCAGGTAATCAAATAGTTTTCTTGAGCGTGATTCATTAAAGATTTTAGAATCACTTTATTTACACTACTTTTTATGCATATATTTTACTATTTTCTTTAAGCATATTTCTTCATAATTATTCCATTTAAAGTAATTAAAAAATTTGAAGAAAATAATATGAAATAAAAAAAATATTGAAATGGTATATTTTTTTTAAAATAAATTAAAAATGTGACCTATCCTAGATTCGAACTAATGGCCACATGGACTAAACGATTAACAATAAATCATTTGCGCTGCAATAGCATTCGTTCATACTTACGAACCAAAATGTATTTAGTATATTCCGCGTCAGTTGTTTAATGTTAATAAGTTTGGAAAATTATAAAATAAGACATTATCAATAAATATGGTCAATCAATCATAAAATGTGAAATCAGTTTCAAACCAGTTTCACGCATCAATAGCATTAATAACTTAGTTTCAAAGAGTCTATTTTTTAACATTAGTAGATAAAAGTATTTAATTTTACAAGCCCAATCCACAATATAAAAAAGGTAGAGTATATAGGCTCAAACCGAGCTTTTACATTAGTAAATAAAAATATTTAACTTTATATGCCCAATCCACAATATAGAGAAGATAGTAAATATAAGTCCAAATCGAGCAACAACACAAAAAAACCACAATCTCAAATAATCAATACAATGGTAAATGTAGATAATATAATAAAAACATCATAACAATTTAATGTGTCGTTATTGTTCAAAAAATATTGCTAGCATAAATATATATTCAGGTGTAAATAAATATTTCTTTACAAGATGCAATTAATCGTAAGTTATTTCCACATTACTTTCGTAAATAAATTTCATTCTTTTATTTGAATCTTCAACCATTATTGTATAATCGATATAACTACCGCCAAGTCAAATGGTCAAATTTGCACATTCATACCGATTATATTATATAGAAGATTGAGATATTTAAATTTCAGGCATACACTACGATTATTAAAAATAGAAGAATTATTTCATACCAACGAAAACTATCGAAACAAATATAATTTTATTAATTCAACTGTTGTTCATTTATTATTTGAAATGGTAATTACCGACGAAGAGGAAACAAAAAATCGAATTTCAAACTGAAGAACGAGATACAAATTTATTAACATATATATATATAAAAAAAAAAAAACATGTAAAAGAATATGAAATTAAATATAAATATTTTTGGGCAATGTAAAATAAAATAATGATAAATTATTAAACTTTTTTACTTTTACAGAAGTGATTTTTTAAAAAGTAGAGAAAGGGTATTACTTTTGAGGGTATTTTGGGCACGAAATTATTGAAATTATCCAATCACCCTCAACTTTTCATACCAATTACGAAAATACCGTCATTTTGTTAGGGCCCGTTTGGATGGGCTTAATAAAAGCAGCTTTAAAAAATTATTTTTAAAAGTGTTGAAACTTATTTTTAAAATAAGTAGTTATGCGTTTGGATAAAAGTGCTGAAATTGTTATGTCAAACGTGAAAAGGTAAAAATGGAAGAAAGAAATGTTAGGGTTATATGGGTAATTTGGAGATTGTACAAAAATATTAAGCACAAAAAGATAAAAATGTGGTCAACTTAAAACAGCTTATAAGCTAAAAAAAGAAAAAGCACCCCTACCCCAGCTTTTAACTTTTGCCTTAAAATAAGTTTTTTTTAAACTTAGAATAAGCTGTTTTGAGTATTGTCAAACAGCTAAATAAGTCAAAAACCAACTTTTAAGTCAGTTTGACCAGCTTTTAAGCTGAGCCAAACATGCTCTTAGTCGTGCCATTTCATGACAAATTGATGTCGTGGCATTTATATTTTTTGGATTTCTAATTTTAAATTGCAATTAAATATTCTTAAGAATATACTATGTAGTTATTAGAGGCTACTCTTGTAAATAAGTAGCCAACTTGACATCAAACTTAATTGACAAAATTATCTTGTATTTGCAGATTCATTAATATACCAATTGAACGAGTTTTGATACTACTTTTTTTTTTATATATATATTTTTGAATAATTTAGACATGATAGACTATAATTTAAAAAGCAATCCAATGTATCACATATTGGCGTGCAAGCAACACAAGAGTTCTTAGATAAATGATATAACTAAAGTTCTAGTAGTAACAAACTAAATAAGCAAAGAAATATATGATCAACCTATTCGAGCAAACCCTCCCTTTTTCTTTTTCCAAGAGAGTCTGTTTTTGAAATCGAATATGCATCAATCTCTCTCGGATTGATTAAACTTTCCAGGTAAACAAAACCATCAATGACAAAAGAAAGTGGATCAATATCAACGGACCATATTTGATTGTCACATGTTCTATAAATCATGTTTATTCCTCGTAATTCATCTAGATATTCGTATCGAAATAGCACTTTATCATCAGGAAACCTATATATAGGTATAATGGAAATAGCCCCATTACTTGGTAACGTGAGTAACTTTATCCAAAATTCCTGAACACCATACTCTTTCATTATCCATAAATTAAAAGTGATCTCGTCATGGTTAAAAAGACAAACCATACTCTGCAACACAGATATGCCCACTTCGATAGCCACCACTTTTCGAGGATATAAACGCGTATTTTTTGGTAAGGGTATTGTCTTATATGTCTCATCTGAAATACTTAACGACATCATATGAGAAGGATGAATACCAAGCCAGTGAAAGGCTCCATTTACAAAGGGCAAATATTCCTTAGAACACAAAATGGAGCCATCGCCGACAGGACTAACTAAGGGCGAATAAATTTTTCTCCAGGAACCATTTTTTAGTGCTACAATTTCATCTAGTGCAATGCCCGCCTTGTCAATCCTAAGGACTTTATAATCATCACTAGTCGAGTCATATCCCAATCCATAAGTTGAATCCTGTTCTGGCGATTCTATAGCGGGAAGTACCACTGATTCTGACGTGGTGGGGTTCCATAGAAAAAACATTGTCCACATCTCGATGAGAAACAAGGCATCACAACAACAATATATTTTAAAACCACTGAATGGTTCACAAATATTTGGAACTGTATGTATATCATTAACATTTGGGGATAACGAAGAGCAATAGAAATTTTTGCAAGTACCAGTAAACAATTTTTGGGAATCAGGCTGATTTTTGGCATGATTGTGATGCTTCTTCTTAAAGTAAGGCTCGGTTAATAATGAATTCCAAGATTTCGATACACATTTGAAACGAAAAAGAGACTTAACAGAAAGTTTTGTGAGAATCTCTATAAGTATTTCCTGCTCTTGAATCTTAGTTCCCATTACCGTATCCATATTGGGGATGAAGAGAATAAGAGGTTTTCAATGATTTAATATTTGCTGCTATATTAATATTGTTGTTATGTGGTTTAGGGTTAGTGTTGATATAAACCTACTAATTTGAATTTTGATATACCATGGTACTAATTGCAGTAATTTTCTTCCATATTTTAAGGATTAGAATTCTAATTACAGTAATTTTCTTTCCTATTTTAAGGATTAGAATTCTTAATTTTTCTTTATTATTAGTGTTGAAATTTGTATGATATTTTGTCATTAGTTTTTTTCCAAATTTTAAAGATTAGAATTTGTTTATGAAAAGAATTCGTGTAATACCCAATATCAAATACTATATATAATTGGTTTAGTAGTCTTTGATGAAGTGTTGGGTCACCTTATGACATTAGAGTTGTGCTAATACCTACTTTTCTTCAATGAGTCCCCTATTGCCTTTCATCAACAAAATTCTCTAAAGTTTTTTTATGTTTTATTCGACTCCATACATAACACTAATTACGTATAATTATTTCATTAATTTATTAAAAATGAAACCGATAAATTACGATAAGAAAAATCACCATGATCCTTCTCCCCTTTTTATGCTTAAATTTTTTTTACTATAGTCTATACGCTATCATGATATATAAAAATTAGAAATCCAAAAGGAGTTGCATTCAACAAGAAAGTCATCATACTTTAAACAAAACAGAATTTACTATTAATTTGGTGGCTCACATTAATTTAACGTTGAGAAATATGGCAACAGTTATTACTAATTTGTCAAAGGATAGCAAATGTTGCCAAATATTGATGCAGAGCAGTGACCATTTAGAACCTAAGATGTAAAGATAATAAGCAAGGGTGAAGGCCACCATTTAAAACCGAATAGAAGGAAGGAAATGCACTCACACAACACTAGCCATGTCAAAATAATTCTGCAGCAACTTTGGCAAAGGTTATGCCGGCTACCTGTAATTCCACAAGTAGGGTCCGAGAAGGGTAGAGTAAAATGCAAACCTTACCCCTACCTTGGAAGGTAGAGAGGTTGACCCTCTGAAACGAATCTCTTTCAAATAGGAGAAAGTGAAAAAAGTTAAAGAAATTGAAATAAACAATTGAATACCTTTAGAAAAATTAGCAATCTCAGGATAGGTAAACCTAATTAAAGAATGAGCCACAGGAGAAATACGGCCTCTCAAGTGAGAAGGATAAAGGTGTTAGCAGTTTGGCCAACCCAAAAACCCAAATCTTTCATTTCCACAATGGTATTCATGAACTGTGAAGAGGCTCCACAGAGTTAGTAAAACTACTTGGAAACGCAACACAGAAACCCACAAACTCAAAAATCAAAAAAAGTGAACAACTTTGCTTGTGGGGAAGGAAAAAGTTACTTACTTTCAGTATATATAAAAGAGAAAGAGAGCATTGGAGAATAAAGAATCAAATACTGTAATGAGATTTTGATTATATGCTGGGAATGGAAACAAGAGAGAAACAGAAAGATGGTCCCGTGATCCAGTTTAATTTTTGAGTTGATGGAATTACTGGCATTATTTATACCAAGTATGAGAAAAATGTGAATTGAGAATTCTTGGTGTTAAGGTTTAACAAGAAGACTAAATCACTAGGCTTGACGTTCAAATAGTTAACTACACCAAATCACAAGACTGACAATGTTTACATGCAAGTGAAATTTGTGATCAAACATACAATTCTTCTGATAAAATCAAAAACCATTAAGATAAATCCTAAAATGATACACAGATTCAAGTTCCCAGACTTTGGGGAACAATGAAAGTTGACATGTTACTAAATTTTCCTTCTGATTTGACGCCGGCCGCTCTCAAAACAAGATAAACTCCTGCTCTGAGACATAAGTGGTAGGATTCATAGTTTTTTACCGTGGTTTTTGCAGAAATAGTAAAGCCAACAGAAGTCGGTATTTGTGAATCTGTATAAATCCAAAATGTAATCATCCATGGCCCGACTTCTGCAGTAGCATTTTTGTGCCCCTGTTATCAGTTACAGGCAGCAAAGAGAACACAAAAGAGAAATCAATGTTAATTTAGTTGTCGAACACCCACAAAGAGAGCTTCAATGTGAAGTCAAACCAAGAGAGGTGGCAGGCAATCCCTCAATTTCCTTCGTATCTGTTACTGATTTTTCAAATGAACTTGTTTCCTTGCTAAATCCTGCAAAATGAAGATAAGGTCAAACTCAATACAGTTTCAGCTGCACAGTAGTGGTCTATGAGGATAAAAGCTGTAAGAACTGAACAGGAAAGTTGTCATTTACTTTCAGTTCCAAAATAACCATCTAGCTATTCGAATGAATAAAAACAGCCACCCAAAACAAAGCAAAAATCCGTCAAAATGTAACCAGAGACAATGGAAAAACGGCCACAACATATATCAGATGGCAGGTTAAGTTAGAGATCATCAGCTATCCAAGCAAACACTTCTTCTTTTTATCAGGGGGTTAAAACTCTTCCTCTGCTGGAGCCAGAGAGACAATACACAAGAGCGATTTGGAACCTCAACTTCTGAATAGCGGAATAAAAGAAATTATATTTGACGGAGACTCCAATCTATCAATGCCTCCAATTCATAAGAGAAAACCAAACATACGATTTGCTTAAGCATTGCACGGATTCTAGGACCGTACATCGAATCCAACTTATGAAATTATCAAAAATTCTGTTCCTACCCATATTACAATACCTTAATGTATCATTGATAAATCACATATCTTCATATTTCTTATAAATAATTACGATAAACAATTGAATCATAAAGACATTTAAAACTCAAATTAGTCCGTGACTCAAAAAAGAAAAAAAAAAGAATTATGTATTAAAAATATCCATAAACTAAAAAAATAAATAAAAAAAATGACAGGATATATGTGATATGTGAGCCATTTGTGATTGAGGACATATCATTTACAAATATATAAACTAAAACAATAATGCGGGAAACCACAATGAAACAATATAGCAAAATTTTCCTGGAAGAGAACATCCAAAAAGAACGGTGCACTTACTATATATGGCATATGATGATCTCAAAATGGCATAAAGGGAGACGAGAAATCAGTAGCAATGCTTTGTTCTAAAGTGAATTCTTTATAATAACTTGAAAACAAATACAGTTGCAATTGTCTCTAATGGTTCTACAACAATCTTCATGCAGAAGAGGTAAGTAGGCCATTATGCCTAAGCAGCGGTTCTGGAGAAGGTTCCCGTCCTCTAAATTGCACGAAAACCTGAATATGAAGATAATGAATGCATCAGAAGACTAAGCAGAATTAAAAAATGAGCAAAACATAACAAGACACTAGCATTGTTATAATCCCCCTACCTCCAGTGGAGCCTTTCCACCGCCAAGAGCAAGAACAGTCTCCCTGAATCTCTGGCCTGTTTCTTTTACAGCCTACTCAAATTTAAAGCCACTACTATAAGTTGAATGGTGAAAAATATGACTAAAGATTATGGAAGCAAAAGTTCTAAACTATACCTTCTCATTCTCTAGTCCAACATCTTCAAAAGCAGAGAAAGCATCTGCAGACAAAACCTCTGCCCACTGCACAAATTGGAAATACTTTGTTGGTTAAAGCATGTCTTGATCTAGAACAAGGCTACCCCAATTTATTTATTTTTATATAGAAGAAGATATAAAAACCACTTGAAAGAAAGGAGATATTTCAACAGTCTAAATAGTAGAACATCTAAATCCAATAAGTTATTTCTTAAAGACAGAAATACTATATAAAGAATGTAATTAACAGGAATAGATCATAATAGAACATCCGTCAAAAACCTATTACCATTACCATGTCAATATAAGAAAAATATTATGTTGCTGAGCAAAAGGCAGATATAAGTTACGTTGCTCGGACTCTTCAAAAATGCCATCAGGTGCGCGGTGGATCCTTCAAAAGTAGTGCAATTTTGGAGGATCCGAACATTTTTGGAGAGTCCAATCAACTTAGGATACAAGCAACAGTTCCAGTACTAGCCTAACAGTTTGGTCAATATAAGCACGTGCTATCAATACGCCAGAAGAATTTTAAGATTAAGCAGTAAAGAATCGTACATTCTTATATTGAGGAAGAGAAAACTAAATTTCAGAGGCACGATGGATCTAAAAAGATATAACTTCTCCACTTTAACCCCACAATATTTATACACAACTCTCTCACAGGAAATACAACTAACTAGAAATATATAAGGAGCTAAGAACCACAAAAAGGGGGCAGAAGCACCTTGTAACTGTAGTATCCAGCAGCATATCCACCAGCAAAAATGTGACTGAAACTGGCAAGGAACTTATCGTCTGGGAGTGGAGGAAGCACTTGGGTTTTCTTAGAGACCCGTCGGTCAACACAATAGATTGATTCCGAACCACCCGGAACATATTTTGCATGTAACTCAAGATCAACTGTAGCAAATCTCAACTACAAAGAAAGTTTATGGCCACTGGTAAGCATTTCAACAGAATCACGAAGTCATGACATCGAACATCATTTATGATGACAATTTTAAATAAAATACCTACACCATAATAAAGAGAAGAAAAGATCTACAGAATACATCACTCACTGGGAACAATTTAGAGTTCTAGAAACATAATCAAAGAACGCTAAGGAAACTAACCAACAAAGACAATTCAGGTAGATGCAGGCACTGGTGCATGAATCGAAACAACAGAGAACATCCCTTTAGTTCCTACTACCGTTTTACATACTTGTGGAGCACTTAATATTGACACCACTTGATTAACTAACTAGACTTGAAAACCCTACATCCAGCAAAATGTCGCTATTCCTGAAGACCTGATTTAGAAAGTGTGCATTCAAAACTTATTTCTCTCCCCCTTCCAATTTAAAAGTCAATAAAGAAAGGGAAACACGTGTATATCAACTTCAGTTACATTAAAAGAATATTAGAAATGAACCAGGAAAATAGTATATGTTAAATGCATGTTATGGAGAGACTTTTTTTTTGGTGGCCCATGAAGGTCTCAAACCTGAATGTTATGAAGAGACTTGATGTCTCCCACCAAGAGTTTGAAGGAAAATTACGGACTTCGATCATAGACATGAATTATTTTATATAAAGAAATAGGGCATGAAAATTTTGGAATATATATTGTTGGCTAATAGAATACTGGTTGAAAGGAAAATCAGTCAAACGGTTATTAAGAGAGGACCAGAAAAGAGAAAAATGGGGAAGTTCTCACCTGCCGAAGACTTAAGGTACCAGCACGGAAAGTTTTAGCAGCAAGAAGCTTCTTGTATATGTCTTCTGGGAGTGTCTCTCCAGTTTCATGATGCTTAGCAATACCCATCAGAGTATCCCTGCAGAGCAGCTCATCAATAAAATGACTAATCAACAGCTAACTGATTCAAAAGAAACGAAACATGGATTTCTTCAACCATATCTCTTCTACTGCAGTATTTTTGAAAGTGAAAAGCGCAAAAACCGACAACGTCTGCGTGACTTGAAGCGAAAAGTGAAACACAGGCTCCTTTGAAGTGGAGCATACAATTTATGAGAAACTAAACAAAATCAAACATATAAAAACTCACTACAATAAAAATTAATTGCATTGAAAGTAACTTATTCAGAGAGAATGTTGGCATGGAGACATCATAGAAGCGACCAGGCAGCATAAAAAGCATATGAAACAAGAGTTGATTAAATGGTGGTGTTTTTTTTTGGTTTGGTTTAAGAAGAATCCTTCTGATAATGTTTTAAGAGTTCATCAATTTGTTCCTTTCTTTTCTTAAGCTTGAAAATGACCTAGGCACGCCTACAGGCAGGGGCCTCTGAAAATAGCTATTTCAAAGTGCATTTTGTCCACCTTTTTTGTTTTAGAAACATAAGTGGAGTTACTTGTTTTTTCAACCAGAACTAAACGGATCAAGTAATATTACAAGGACATCACCATACCTGTGATAGCACCAATTCTCCATGAATTGTGATGGCAATTCCACAGCATCCCACTCTACACCCCTTATGCCAGCAACCAAACCCTCATCCTGCTTAGTTAGCATATGCTGAAGGGCATGTCCAAATTCATGGAAGACAGTCTCAACCTAAAAAGCATAACGTATTCAATACCAAAAACATGCCTGACGGAGTGATGGTAATTTTACTTGTGTAGAAGTAAATGTTAACTTTTCATGAACTATAGATACAACCCCGCAGATGATTGGAAGCATCATATATCTCAGAAACAAGCTAATGAAGAAAAGAGTACATAAAAATTTTGTCGAGACCTTGAACAAAAGGATTCGAGAGAAGAAGCGCTGTGACCCAGGGTTTTTGTATAAAAGAAAAAAATAGAAAGCCCAGCCATCAGATATTTCCCCACAGATAACAAGGAAAGGGAGGAATAGAAGATACTGTGTTTATACAGTAATACCCAACATTGACATAATCATTTACATTACCTTAGAAATATTCCTAAACCTAAAATTAGTAAAAATATCGGCTTAAACATTTGCTCATGTCCCTCCCACACCACCCATATCCACCCAAAAGAAAATTATTTTACAACCCACTCTGATGCAAAGCCTAACAAGTAGTAGATTAGCCAAAGCTGATGATATACCATGCAGCACAATAGCTTATCAAAGGCACTTAGAGTCAAACCACATGCTTACCTCACGGAATGTCATTAGGCTGGGTTTATCCCCAACTGGTGGCATCTGATTACAAACCATGTGTGCAACAGGCAATCTAGCATTCGAACCATCTCGTGATAATACACGGCTTCGGCTAACAACTTCATCCATCCAAGCACCGCCACGTTTCTCAGATGGACGAGAGTATGGATCAAAATAGAAGTAGGCAATAGGACTTCCAGAGGAATCATTCACACGGTAAAACCGGACATCATTGTTCCAAACCTAGAAATCACACACATCGGTGCACAACATTATCTGCCTCTGCATACAGGATCAGGAGGAACAAAGATAAAAGGAAAGGCAAGTGAACAAAGTCTTACTGGAGCTAATCCATCAGCTGGCTCAACATTGATATCAAACAGCATCTTTACAAGGTTAAAAAGACCATCCATAACTCTAGGCAACGAAAAGTATGGGCGCAGTTCTTCCTGCAAATAAGCAGCATGTGAACTCAGAGCTGTACACAAGCATCAAAAGGAAGTTTTACAAGCATTTATTGAACGCTAGAGGTAGAGGTCTATTAACAAAACCAAAGAAGGGACTTGTTACTAAATGGTCAAATGAGAAAGAGAAGAGACTTGTGTTGATATTACTAAAGCAAGTACTAAAATAATTGTACCTAAAATGAACAATGATACACGTGTGTTTGACACCATAGTTAAGCTAAAATATATTCTACTTAGCAAGATAATAATGGTCTCAAACTATAAGGAAGGGTACATTGCTTGTCATTTTTTCAACTCAATTTGTTATTAAGTTTGGTTTAAGAAAGGATGATCAGGAAGCATAAAGCTTCTATAATACTCGTGAACTATCAGAAGACAAACAGACATCAGAAGAAGGCATTTCCAAGAATGTACAAGAAAAATTCACATCGGCACATCCGCATGCACATTGTTTACTGTTTCCAATCAACACTTCAAGTATCTCACATTGGTTGACGAAAAAGAGTTGTTGTCTGCTTTTATGGTCTTGGGAGGATCCTCAAGCTAACTTTTGGTTTAAGTTAGACCCAAGGTCCATTTTTTCTTTGAACACAAAAATAAAGGGGAGAGGAATAACGGCCCACCTCGTTTAGCTCATACTTAGATTCACGAAGCCTCTCACTCCAGAACGTAATATCCCAATGGTTCAGATCATCAGCTTCTGGAGAACCTTGACTTTTACAGAAATCTTTCAAGTCTTCCAAATCTACATAGATCAAGGGAAAAGCTTGTAAACACAAAACATTGTCAGCTAAGAGAGGTCAACCAGTTATTTTGGTTGCATCAAGGGGAGAAGAGAAAAAAAGAGAAGCAATCCATATGAAAAGCACAAAAATTAAGGTGGTTAGTAGTATCATCTTATTTTCAAAATAAATAAACAAAAAGAAAAGACAACCTTTTTTAAAGATTGATCCATCTATCAGAATTTGCCTATTTTACCTCATATCTGGTAAATAAAAACTAAAAAGGGAACTCGGAATTGATGAAGCAAAAAGTAAATCAAAAACATAAAAGCTCATAACAAAGACTCTGTATAGTTTACATCTCAAATACCATTGAGATGCTTTTTTACGCCCTACCTTTAACTGCAGGATCCCAAGAAGCACTACGAAGCTTTTCTAAAAGCTCTTCGGCTTTTTCAACAGTGGCCATTTTCATCGCCATGCTTACCTATATCAGTAAACCATTTAATTTTCAAAAAGAAAAAATACATTTAACCAACATAGATGGTATTGTGAGTTTTTTAAAAAATGTATACCTCAGCATAGTTATTGTATCCAAGGAGCTTAGCCTTTTCCAATCTAAGCTTTAGAATTTGGTTAATTATCTCAGTGTTATCAAGGTCTCCACTAGAAGCACGATTTATACAAGCACGGTACACCTCTTCTCTAAGAGTTCTATTCTTTGCATGTTGAATCACAGACATATAACTTGGCGCATCCAATGTGATGATCCATGGCCCGTCTTCTGCAGTAGCATTTTCGTGCCCCTGTTTTTTGACACAGGCAACAAAGGAGAATCCATAAGAGACAAGGTCACCAAAATCAATTCAGTTTTCAAACATCCACAAAGCGAGCTTCCGCGTTACCTTAGACACTGCTGTCTGTGCAGCCAAACCAAGAGATGTGGCAGGTAATCCGTCAATATCCTTCTTATCTATTATTAATTTTTCAAACTTCTTGGTGGAATCTAAAACATTTTCATCAAATTTCTGAGATAGCTTTGCTAAATCCTGCAAAATGAAGATAAGGTCAAATGCAACATAGTGACTTAAAATACAATTTCAACCGTGCAGTAATTGTCTGACTGTTTGCAATAAGTTAAAATATTACTCTGAGGTTAAAATCCATAAATATTGAACAGGAATATTCTCAGTTACTTTTAGTTCCAACATAATCATCTCGCAATTCGAATAAAAAAACACTCATAAAAAGACACCAACCACCCAAAACAAAGTAAAAATCCGTCAAAATATTTTCAGAGAAAATGGAAAAACAGCCACAACATAAATCAGATAGGTGTACAAGTAAAATAACTTCAAACATACATATAAAATAACTGGTATTATAGATATATTGCTATAATACCAGTCCGTTAAATTTTTCACTTGTTAAGAGTGCATTTAAGAAGAAACATTTGGGGGGTATAGAACAATGAGAAGACTATGTGTTCAACAAGAAACCAGAGCACACCTGTTCAATCTTGTTAAATTGCTCTCTTTGATCATCCTCAAGAGCGATACCACTAAGTACAGCCTCCTTTATTTGCGCTGCACGAGCAAGAAGCAGAGTGTGAGATGACCATTTATTTGCAGGCAATGCGCTGGAAAGACCTCAAATGAAAGTTAACCATTAAAAATATGTGGTCTTCTTTGATTTCTCTTGTTCTTTCTTTCTGTTTCTATTTTTATCGTGAGGGTGGGTTGGGAAACAACAGTTGAATTTTTAACGGAATCATGTGACCATCAAGCACTTCATGCAAGTTGCAAAGAAATTACTGTACATACAATTTTATAATATACAGTTCTTAGCTTTATTGGATAAACGATAACGATTCTGCACAAAAAAAAATACCAAAAACAAATTGGCAGAGAGAAGTTGATGCATTAGGAAAAGTAAATCTCAAACTACAGTCCTGGACAGACCGCAACAGGAATTAAATAGATTTTCATGCTTAAAGACACCGTGCCTCCCGAATTCGAAAAGATAAAAGGAAAAATAAGTTTCATGAACTTACATTCAACTATTCGTTTACGAGCATCACTCAAAGAGTCCCACTCAGGTGACTCTCGGATGGCTTTGAATGCATTATAGATTGGCTTACTCTGACCCAATTTAAGCTGAAAAGCAACTTTTTCTGGCTGCACGAGAAGTAAATAGTATCAATGATGCAATGAAAGTAGTAGCGTATCCGAGGATAAAGAGAAAAGAGCATGGGAATCTTGTAGTAAGACACATATCAAGCCTCAAATTAGAAAGTGTATAAAAGGATGTATATCAGATTGAAAAAGGTTTGTAGTCAAACAGAAGATATCATTATCTATCCAGCAAACAACTCTGATTAATATCCTTTTTAACAACGCAAAAGCTATAATACAAATTAAAATTTGAATCTATAGAGAGGAGACTACTAAATTACTCCCTCGTAATTGTTGTGGCCATGAGTCAATGTAAAAAAGAACTCAAAACAAATTGTCGGGAGAAAATCAAGAACATGGGAAAGGAAAAGAACCACGTTGTATTGATTGAACGAAAGAGACGAGATCTTTACACTCTGGGAGATTAAGAAATCACAGACACGGAAAAAATAAATTGGTATGGCTTCAAGCAAAGAATCTTCAAAAAAGGGTTCAAGATGATATTATTTTAGTAGAAAATTATAATTGTGATGCCAAAAGCCCCAAGATTACAAACCTGAACTTCTTCAAGAGCGGAACGAAGTTCAGGATTATCTTTGACGGACTTGAGATGATTCACCGCACCCCAAACAACCGTCAATCTATCAATGATCTTCTCCAATGGCTCCGCCAGCTTGGGCCAGGTAGGCTCCACACTCTTCTCCAAAGCGCTCAATTCCTCCTCCTACGTTCAAATCACAAAATTAACGCGCCACACTATTAAACCCTAAGTATATAAGAGAAATCGAAACATACTATTTTGTTAAGCAAGGCACGAATTCCAGGACGGACGTGCTTGGCTTCGATTACATCGAATGGTGGGAAATCAAAGTCCTTCAACAAAGGATTGTCATCAGAAGCCATCGACATTTTAGAAGGATGGTCGGAAATGGATGCCGACGATGGAGAAAATGATCGGACGGTGATGGATTTACCGGGAGAAGTTGACTTGCGGAAAGTGTGAAGACAGAGAGAGAAAGAGGATGACCAGAGGGGACAAGACGGACACTGAAGTAGGTTTTTGGTAGATAAACGTGAAAAAGTAGAAGTGGGTCTTAAGCAAAGGCGAGCTGAACGAGATAGCGAAAAACGAGTCGCCATTAAAATGAGGAAGAGGCTTAATATAAGTGACGGAGTGGTAGAGGAGCCGTACAGGATTCGGCTTAGCGGTGACCCTATCCTCCTATATTTCATCTTGACCCTTTTTTTTCTTCTTTTTGTTACAAGTTTTGAATAAAGTTAAAAGTTAATTCGTGTGTATATGATGTGATGTATTAACCGTGGAGCTCGTAATTTCAAAGTTGAATTTTTTTTATTATTACTTTTTAAAAAAATAAATTAACATTAATATTTATTTAATTAATTGAACATTAAGTAATAGTTATAGTATATTTAAATTCATGCATCAAACAAGATTTTAGTGCATGTACTAATTAAATGTATGTAAACAAGAATCTGATAACTTTTCAATTTTAATTTGTAAGATAAGTGGGGGCAATGAAGAGTCTAACAAACACACTCACACCATATTATTTATATTCCTTCTCATCTTGCATTCTAGAGTAAAAATAGATCAGTTGTAAAACTTTTATTACCATTTTGTAATTATAAAAATTCTTACTATTTTATTTATTTGTATTTTTTAAAATTTCATGTATATTCATCTTTTTTTTATCGAGAAATATGTAAATTATGATAGTTACAACATGAATATACTACAATATATATGAAATTGTAAGTGAATTTTTATTTTTCATATCTCCATCATTTTGAGTTTTTAAATATAACTTCATAATTGATTATTGTTTTTTGTGATCATCCTTTCTTCTATCTTTAGAACATATTGTAAAACTAATCTCATTTTGTATTTATTATAAATTATTTTGAGGATAAATATGTTAAATCTCAAAGAATAATAATTATGTCTTCCATTTATCTTTTAAAAATAACATATTTATATTTTTTTTCCTTTTTATATGTTATCTCAAATATTTTAAAAAATCATTTACTTAACTGTTACACCGAGATCATTGTTGAACCTTCTGCAAACTTGATGCCCATTTAAAGGCCATCAGTGACATTTGATGCTTTTTCAGATTTTTTAGGAGACTGACGTCAAAGATGTAACTGTAATTGTTTTCAAGGTATTATATAGTATTTACTTTAGAACAAGGTTTATGCATTATCTCATCAATCCTCTTTGCGATATCCTGGTAAACATTTTTTTCCTCCCTATAATGGTAAAAAAAAATTATGATTTATTTTTATCGAAAAGTACAATACATGCTTGTTTTGCAGGCTATTGATTTAGTCAAGTTCTCTGGATGTTTACTGTGCCACTGAAAACCCCTTAAATTAGAAATAAAAAGTAGTCCACTGTGCAAACTGCAGTAGGGGTTACTATAGTCGTATTGACAACACCAAACCGGATCGGAGTGGTACCAATATAGTTTGTTTCATTGGCATACTTTATCAAATTTGTATTCATTCTTGTTCCAGAAAAAGATGAAGCAATCCATCTTTGATTAGGTTTTATCAAAGGCGAAAAGTACAAAAAAGCTTTGTTGAAACTTTAAGTACTGTTAGGTTATTAGCATTTTGGTATTAATATTTAACATATTAAATTGCTTTATTTTGAAGTTATAAAAATGAACATTGGTGAAGAAATACTAATCCTAATAGGACTAGGATTAAGGAGTACTAGGATTAGTACACAGTAAATACTAATATTATTTAATACTATTTATTTAATACTATCTGTTATTATCCCCTCCAACTGAGCTGAGCGGAAGCGAACGGAAGCTTGGAACTGAGGTAATCGTGATGTCGGCTCGGGAGAGGCTTGGTGAGAATATCAGCCGGTTGTTCTTCAGTGGGTACATACTGCACAGTCATGGTGTCGGCCTGAACTTCATCGCGAACAAAGAGACAATCAGTATCAACATGCTTCATTCTGGTGTGTAGGACGAAATTCTTGGCCACACAGATGGTTGATTTGTTGTCACAATAGAGAGCAGGAACAGTGTGAGTGGCGCGGAGTTTGCGAAGAATATATGTGACCCACATGATCTCAGCAGCGAGAAGAGCAAGGGCGCGGTATTCAGCTTCAGTTGAGGACCGAGAGACATTGGGTTGTTTTTTTGTACACCAGGAGATCAGGTTCGGCCCCAAAAAAACAAGAAACCCCGATATAGATTTTCTGTCATTTTTATCATTCTCCCAATCTGAATCTGAGAACCCCCGAAGCTCCAAGTCCCCGGGTCAAATGAGTAAACCACGACCAAGAGTGCAAAAAATGTACCTGAGAATGCGTTTTAGACAATGGTAATTATGTTCACTTGGTTGATGCATGCGCTGAGCAACTCAGTTGACAGCAAACTGGATGTCAGGACGGGTAATGACCAGATACTGTAGAGCCCCAATGAGACTGCGGAAGTGGGTGATATCGGCAAAGGGGGTGTCGGCTCCATTCGTAGACGAAGAGACCACCATCGGTATTGGTTAACTGGTGCATTTTTCCAGTCTAGCTTTCTGCAACAGATCTCGATATCTACATAGACAAGAAGAATGACTGTACCGTGTGCTGAATGTCGAGTAAACAGACTCGTGTCGTGTACGCAACACGTGAAGCCGAGTTCCTGGAGGAACGTTTTCAGACGTGTGTTTAATATTGTACACCCATTTACAGCCCACTGGGTGCCGCCCATGGGCTTAGGTAGAAGAACACACGTTTTCTGATCAGTCAAAGCCTTAAACTCGTCATCCATAGCATAACGCCAATAAGCATTTTTTGAGGCAACAGAGTAGGTTGTTGGTTCACTATCGGGAAGGGGTGTATTTGGTAGTATGGTAGCCTGAAAGGTTTTGGGTTTAAAGATACCGGCTTTGCCACGGGTTAACATGGGATGAGTATTGGGGGGTGGCACAAGCGGTGGTGATTCGGGGGTGGCCGGGAAGGACCCAAAACGGATCGGGCTGGAGATGTTGTGGGTATGGGGTGGTTCGGGTTGGTTGTGAGTGTGGGTGGTGATTGCGGGTGTATTGTGGGTGACGGTCGAAGGGGTGATGAGGGGTGGTTGGGTAGTGGGTGGAGATGTGGGGGAAGGTGGTGAGGGACCCTGTGAGTATGTTGGAAAAAGGGGAAGGACGCCAATGAATGATGTATTTGTGGAGGAGGAAATAGACTCGTAGGGAAACTCATTTTCGACAAATTTGACATGACGAGATATGTAGACTTTATGAGTTTGTGGGTCAAGACAGCGATAACCCTTGGAGGTAGGATGATAGCCCAAAAAAATACAAGGACGGGATCAGGATTGTAATTTGTGAGTAATATGAGGGCGTAGCCAAGGGTAGGCAAGACACCCAAAGACGCGGAGGTTGGTATAATTGGGAAGTTCTTGGTAAAGGAGTTGATAGGGTGATTTGTTGGAGAGGGTGTGACTGGGCATTCTGTTAATGAGGTAGTTTGCGGTGGCTAGAGCTTCTATCCAAAAGGAGACAGGAAGATGAGATTGATGTAGAAGAGTAACCACCGTTTCAATGAGATGGTGATGCTTACGCTCAGCCACCCCATTCTGTTCGGGAGTGTATGGACAGGAGGTTTGATGTATAATTCCCAGGGATTGCAGAAACTGACCAAAGATGTTATTTACATATTCCTTTCCATTGTCACTTCGAAAAAGTTTAACATGAGAATTGAATTGTGTTTTGACTATTTTTTCAAAAGTGACAAAGGTGGTGTATGCCTGTGATTTGTGTTTTAGTGGATACAACCAAGTGTATTTTGTAAAATCATCCACAAAACAAATATAATAGCGAAAACCAGCAAATGAAGGAACAACAGTAGGACCCCATAGGTCAGAATGAATAAGTTGAAAAGGTGTAGTTGTACGCTTCTCAGATAAAGTAAAAGGTAATTTATGAGATTTAGCAATTGAACAGGAGTCACAATTGTTTACATGAATGGAAGAAAAACCTAATTGAGACATTAAAGAATTTATTATTTGAGTAGAAGGTGACCCAGACGACTGTGCCACAACAGACTGTGGCCATCAGCCGAAAGAGCCACCGGAACCACAGGAACGCTTTCTGAAACTGGGTGGGCAGACGAACTTGTGCCAGGAAGAACGTACAGACCATGCTCACAGGGGCCCTGAAAAATCACCCTCTTGGTAGTATTGTCTAGGATCTGAAAATCATTAGAGGTGAACAAGAGTGAGCAATTATTGTCTTTTGTGAATTGGTGAACTGAAAGGAGATTGGTTTTAATAGAAGGGACGTAGGTAAGGTTACCTAGGTGAAAGATAGCGGTGGGGGTTTTAATGGTACCCGTACCAGTGTGAGAAATATTAAGGGACTCACCGTTGCCAACAGTAATACCATTGGAGCCATGATATGGATTTGGAGCGTTAAGCTTGGATAGATCAGAAGTAACATGCATGTTGGCCCCAGTATCCAACAACCATTCAGAGGAGGGGCCGGCTTGAGATGCATAATTGGCACGGTTATCACTATTTCGGCTCTCCTCATACCAAAACCAGCAACGAACAGCGGTGTGTCCTGTTTTCTGACAGATTTGACAAGTTGGACGATCCCGCTCGTAAGTGCCCTGCCCGCCGCTGGAAGATGACTGCCCGCCATTGCCGAAGGAGTGTAGGCTGTTGTTGCTGTCGTGCTGCTGACCGTCGTACGGCGGACGATTGCCCTGCCGACCGCCGCGCCCGCGGCCTCCGCTGTTTATACCGTAGCCGCGACTCCCCTGCCGGCCGCCACCACGCCCCCCGCGATAGTTCTGGCTTGCGGTGAGGGCGGTGGCCGGCTCCACAACAGTGGCTTCTCGGAGAAGAAGTTTGCTTTCCAGATCCACGTTGATTTCTTCACTTTTTAGCCACGAGGAGAGAGTAGCCAGGTCAACGGGCGTTGGACTGATGCAAACCGCCTATTTAATGGAGGAGTAAGCTGATGGGAGCCCCCGAACGACGCACATGACGAGATCTTTTTCGGGAATGATTTCGTTCACGGTGTCGAGGGTTGTGATGATGGGGGAGACCCCGTCTAAATACTCCGCCATAGTTTTCGTGCCTTTGGTAATTGTGTGGAGACGATCACGCAATTGAAAAATATGAGAGTGAGAAATTGATGCATAGCGTGTTGCGAGGGCCGTCCACAGGGCTGAAGCAGTTGTGTAGGATCG